CCGACATACTCAAATTAGCGCGAAACGCATATCGAATTGGCGTAATTTTCAACCATTTCATCTGTAAAGAATGGAACTGTGGGAAAAAATCGAGTTGTTACGTCATACATCGTGTCTAAAGATGGTCCAGATGATGTTCACATAAAATATTTTCATCGCCGACAATCGCCGACAACCGCCGGTTTGCCTGCGAAGTTGAACTCAGCTCAGCTTCACAAGCAAGCCGACGCCGTCAATGCCTGGGAAAGATTATGATTCGGCGATAAATGTTCACATATGCCGTACCGGTGTCCCAGGGTTGTCGGCAGCATATGAGAACCAGGCTACACAAACCGGTCTATGGTTAGGCTTCTTTCCCCGTGAAATAGGTCAATTCCGGTCTACATTAGCGCCCATCGGTTAGGAAAAAAATGGTCACCTCATTTTTTAAAAATATTTCGGTGAAATGATGACGTCAGTTAAAAATTAAGTCCGTGCTTGTGATTGGTCACTGAGGTTCCTGCCAGAGTCTGAATTCGCGGTAAATTCAAACTTAAAATAGATCGGTCTGTGCAAACACCGTGATAGGAATATGAGGTAGTTGCACACTCCTAGTGATAGACTCCCGAACCTCTTTAATACGGTCACCAATAGGGCCAGAGCTGAGTGTTCGCATTATGTAGATACTCATAAGGAGAGTTTTGCTGTGTATTGTTTATATGCTTATCAAGGTGTTTTTAAGGTGTACAGCACTGAAATGTAGAAGCAAAAGCGTTTGTAATTGTTTTAGCATAAATATTGTTGCCACAGTAACCAGTTTAGACTTTGTAAAATTCATTTTGTTTCCTGACCACAGCAAACTGTCATTAATGATAATGCATGACTAGTGCCTCTTTCAAAGACATATAAATAATAAAACAGTATTAAATATTGTTCCATAGTAAAATAAATGATGCAACGTTAAAATAGTAATAATAAGTAATAGTAATTGGACCGAGTGGAGCACAATTAAGGGAGTAATCGCGCGAGTAATTTCAAAATCGGACGAGCGCGAAGCGCAAGACCGATTTCAAATTACAATCACGATTACTCCCTGAATTGTACGACCCGAGGTCCAGTTACTAATTAATCGTATCTATAACCAATTTCGAAATTAAAAGTGTTTTGAGAACTTCTTTTGAGAAAAAACGTGAGTAGCGCCTTCCATACTATAGGAAGTACTAAGACGAAATTCAACAAAGCGCGTAATTGACGTGCGAATCACGTAGGTATCCAATAACAGGTATCCAATTACAAAAAGTTCAAATTGGATACCTGTAATTAGACACTCACGTGATCGCGCGGGGATAACAAGACAAATAGGCGCGCGGAGAACTAATC